CGATTCACCTCATCCTCCAAAAGCACAAAACATATCTCTAGATGAAGACAGACACTTCAGCTTTAATAACTGCACAAACATACACATAACAAATTCAAAAATAACATTACTATTATTGCTGTCATTATTTTTATTCCTAAAATTTCCCAAACTTTGGCAGAAGTATCTAAATAATTTCCCTGAGGTTTCTAAATATTTTCCCGGGGTATTATAAGTGATTTAGACACCTCATATAATGCAATCTGATTGGTCAATTCAAGACAAGCATGGTAGAATCTAATATTAATATCTATGGATCCGGTCATTCTGAAAGTAAGCTCACGTGATAAAAATGAAATCAACCGTGTCTTACGCTTAAAATGGCGTCTAAATCAAACAAGTGTTCTCCAGAGTACGTGGTCCTTGAACAGTATCTCCACAATATCTGCGATGCACTTAGCAAGGTTTCTGGTAGCATTACACCTCTAGCAAGAGACTATTGCTCCGCTGGCATCATAACATCAGCTACAATGAGTAGTGCCTCTCCTCCGCACTCTCCCCAATCTGTCTTGACTCCCTACGAACGTGCTAATGCAATCATGACTGCAGCTCTTGTAAGTGTACAACAGGATCCAAGGAAGTTTGGTGCTGTGGTAGAGAAGCTAAGTGATCATGGGCTTAATGGGCTTGTAAAGGAAATGGACGACACACTTGGTAAGTCTACATATTTTATTTCATGGTGTATCTAAGTATCTCTTTTCACACTAAGCAGTACAACCTCAAGGAACTGCAAGGTCTAGATCTCCACCATTACTAGGTATAAACAGTTTTATATTCTGTACCGGCATGCATGCCATACATATTGAGGCCAGGGGCGGATCTAGGATTGGATTTTTGGGTGGGCCTTGATGATGTGGGTACGGGTACGGTGTGGTAATTATTGGGAGTGGCCAAAAAGCCTGCATTCAAACATAGATATTAGAGTAAATGAAAGGGATTGGAAATGGGGCGTAGCAACAGGAAATGTGGGTTGGGTTACCACATGACAACCATCTGTGTTTTGATTGTATCCCCATCTCCTCCATTGGTGAAGTTGCTCAAGAAGGATTTCGAAGGAAATTTGTGTTGCTTCAGGATAGCGCTTGCTTATATATAGCCTATTCCACATAGAATGTTTATAGCTACCTGCAGCAAGGTTTGTCTCTGTACAGCCATTTTGCAGGCAGTTATAGGTACACAAAGTCACCTGTTTTTGAAACACTTTATCATTCATAAAACACTCAATCTTCGGAGTATCAACATGTGAGTTAGCTCATTCCACAGGAGATTTAAAGCTCTTTAAAGTGTAACTGCACCCCAAAACTTTTTTGCCTGGAATAAGTTGGTAATGAAGAGAGAATCATAGGAAAAATAGCTAAAATTATTAAAAAGTACTGTTTCTGTACTAAATCTTGGGTCAAAAGTTGCCTTGCAGCCATCTTGTCAAATCACTTCCGGTGGTGGGCGTGGTCACGTGATGATGTAGATGGGGGAACATTAGCAAGTTTCTGCATTGAAATATTAGCAATTTTAAGGCTGGATTTCTAAGTTCTGCGTGCAAGAAAGCAGCTAAGAGGTATTTTTGCAATTATTAGAAGCTATACAGAGCTAAATTATGTAGTCCAAATTTAAATTTGTCATTTAGCAGTTTTTACAAATAGACAGATTATACTTATTCACTGCTCAAGAACAAAATGAGTCTCAGAGGGGGAAAAATAGTATTTTTAGTTAAAGAGTGACGCAACTACTAGCACATGCGTTGATTTGCTTAACAAAAAATATTAATAAAAAGTATGAACACTGATTAGTATTGAGTGTGAGTTTTGTTTGCATGAATGGCATCCTCTTGGAAAATCTGTCAAAAAATCCCAACCCGCCTCTGTTTACTTAGCAACAATACAAATGAATGGAGGTTTGTCTACGCCCACGCTTCCATTTCCAATCCCTCTCTATTATCTATGATTCAAAGTCAAAGTTTTGAAGATTAAAGCTGTTAAAATGAGCTCCTTTGTGGTTTACAAATTGTTTGCATAGTCATGCTTCACAGTTTACATAGTCATCCACATGCAAAAGTTGATTTTAAATTACTGCACAAAACCTTTGGGTGGGCCTGTTCCACCCTGGCCCACCCCTAGATCCGCCCCTGATTGAGGCTACAACTCTTGTGTCTTTTGAAAATACCATAATAGTGCTTTATTTTTCAAAGAGCAAAACTTTTGTGGTTTCACAAATTGCCACAAAATTAAAGCTTCTCATTCACAATCATTATTACACCAAAGGCATGATTTTAACATTGTTAACAATGCAAATCCACAAAAGTTATTTCTGCAAAAATTCTATAAATTTGCGAAAATTTTGCTCCTTGAAAATAAAGCACTATGAGGAATTTTTATGTTAGCATGTTTCCATTGTAGAAAACCATAAGCCATTATGCAAAAAAAAATTTAAAATCAAGCGACAGCGGATGAAGATACTTGTGGTTGGTCATAATGGAAGTGGAAAATCATCATTGATTAATGAAATGCTGGGTGGGAGAAATGTAGCAGTGGTTGGTCGACCAGAAGATCAAACCCATACCAATAATCCAGTCGAAAAATACGAGCTCGAAATTGGAGATGTAGATGTCACGATATATGATGCACGAGGACTTGGTGATCCTTCAATAACAGACGAAAGTACAATGAATTCAATTGTTAAAATAAAGACTGTAGATATTGTACTTCTATGTCACAAGCTATATGATAGGGTTGATGGTGCAAGTGTGAAAGAGCTAAAGGTTCTTTTTGGCAACATGGATGATGATTTGATTGATCTGTCTATTCTCGTCTTTACATTTGGAGACGAATATCAAATAAGATGTGATCCTGTTTTCGATGATAAAGGAAAATTGACAGGTGAATCAAAACAAGAAGTGAAAGAAGCTATGAATATCCAGAAATGTCAAATGGAACACAAATTCAAGGATACTATGAAGAAAAATGGTACCAGTGACAGAATCGCTGACAGAGTACCAAGCTGTATAACATGTGGAAAAAGAAAGAGGAATGGAGAGCGAAAGGAGTTACCTACAAGCGATAACTGGGTTGATGACCTCTGGGAGCTATGTGAGGAGCGATGCAAACGTGAAGCAAGACCATTTGTCAGATCAATGAAAAGCAAGATCTTAGAAACATTAGGAAATGCAGGAAGTCAATTGATTGGTTTTTTTGGCAAAAAGAAATGAGTTTATATTGTGAGAGGGCTAGGGAATGTGAGGTAAATACAGTTAATTTTTAACTTGTAACTTATTTTTATGCTAGATATTTTTGAACTCAATCTTTAGATGTTTTACTTTAATATTGTTAAAATAATAATTAAAACATTGTAAAGTCATTTCTTTGTACTTTGTGAGACCTCTTCTTTTGATCTCATTTTCAGAGCTATCATGAAATCCTTCCATTAGTGCATGGATGATGGAATAGCCTAATTATTTTAATGAATCTTTTTAGCTAGTTTTATTATGATGCAAATCACAAATTAAAAGGTAAACGCCACAAGATGCACAACATGCAAGTTAATAAACTGTAATAACCACCTCATGTATATGTGTGTGCATGCATAATACACTTGCCGCAGTTAGTTATGGATATATTTTATAGATAAAAAACTATAAATATAAATGATTTTTATAGATATATAAGAATAGTTTATACTGCACATGTATACTATACATATACTTGGCCATGGGCAGTGGTGGAGAATCTGGGGGGCTGGAGCCCCCCCAGTTTTGATAAGGGGGGGGGCCCGCCCCCACTTTTGCTGCAACCTACATGCAGACTGAAGAGCAAAGCCTCTCTAAATTTTGATGCAAGGCAGCAGGAGGGCACTGCCCTCACTTTTAATTACTTGTGTTATGTACCGTATAGCTGGAAATATTTGCTGGAATTTAATTTTGCTGTTTGCTGTTCATCATAAAAATGCACAATTTAATTCCACAAAGCATTATAAGTAATGGGCGTATCAACAGTACACGCCTACACCAGCAAAATTAAATTTCACAAACATTAAAATTAGCTAAATGGGTACAAAATCGCAAAATATAATTCCTGCAAACTTTTCCAGCTATACGATATATTAGAAAATGCTATTAATTTAGCTAGCTTATTAGTGTTATAGCAGCTGACTCAATTCATTGCTTATACATATAATGTATATCATATACATACATAAGCATAACTGATGAACGCACCATTTTTTTGGATTATTTTAAACATAATTGAATTAATCAAAATGAGCCCCCC